AATAAGCCCGCTTTTATCTGAGGTTAAGATCTGAACACTTATCAGATCTAACTTCACAGCTTGTGAATAATATGGATGCTTGCCTGTTTAAGTGGCCGTAATACTTTAACGTTTAAACAAGCTACGGTGATAACAGTGTGTGGCTTCAGTATGCTTTGGGCATATGCATTGTTGCTCCAGCATTTCTAAAATCATCTAAGAGCTATAAATGTTCACTTTGCAGGTCTTGTAGCTCCCAAAGGTCAACCGTTATTCTCAGAGCAGCTGACAGCTTTAGTCAGCATAGTGGTATTTTTCAAACAAGTTGGTATGTTTTTAAATATGTAGCATCTCCTTAATACACGTCTGTGATGTGAGCTGCATTAAATGACCGTATATATTATTTAACGTATTTCACAATATATATCGATATGACCTTTATCAATTTTACACCGTATGGTGGCACTTTGAAAATTCAAATGTGGAGCGTTCACGCGCTGTGTATTTATAGACAGTTTTTCTTCCGTACAATATTTCAGTGTAGCTTTCGTTTGGCCTTTTCTTACCCTACTGGAAACACTGATTTTATAGAGGGATTTAATAGATCCATGGTGGGTTTTGTATTGGTACTCAACGTTGTGAAAGTTTTTTCTATTTAAAACAGAAACCCTTCTGAGATAAATGCAACTCGTTTTCTGCATGGTTGTGATAGACATTTAAAATCATTGGCTGGTGATGTATAATGAATACCTGTTTATTATTTATATTTTCAAAAAGCAAACGTAGAAAATGAGAACCAGGGTACAATTGTATAGATGAATGGATCTAAAAAAACAGGAAAGAGAATCAGAGGAGAGAAAAGAAAGATAAGTAAATATAGAAGGAACCTTGACGGGCAGAGGATGCACAATGGGGAAAGATGATAAAGCCAGCAAGGGGTCAACAGTAGGGGATGACCACACACCTTTCTATAGACAGACTGTGTATATAAATCTTGTATATATATTACCTTAGGTTCCCTTTCCCTTCTGTTAGATTATAACCTAAATGACATTTAATTTTTTTTTGTATTACCAACTCCTTTATTTTCAAAACTCAAAGTGGCAAACAGGTTGGACAACTCACGAAAGTAATATCTGCTTTAGCTGTCCTTTGTGAAAAGCTGTGAATTCTGCATTCTGCTTAAGTGCAGCATCTACATTTAGTGGCAGTTCAATTGGAAGGGAGCAATTTGACAGCATCACATTGATTAATCGTTGGGAGCAAAAGGGCTTTAAGATCAATGTTAACCCACGCTGCTCTATAATGACAGCTTTGTCATATTAAAAGTGTATGCACCTGTACCATATTATAAATGTCACATTTTTTAGTGGATGGTAATATTCTGTACAGTTTCATTCTAAACTATCCTTTAGAGTTGTAATATCTGGCTGTCACTGGCTCAGCCATGTTCACAAAGCTGGCAGGCTTGTTTGTTTCCCTGCATTGCCAGAGGTCTAATGCATTTCTGTGTGGTAGCTGGGCTGAATCGCCAATATTCTGACACTTACTGTCGCGTTAACGGCTGCGGTGTCACTACAGTATTGCTGTGTGTGTCTGAATGGATAAGCGCGAAAGGGCTTGCAGATGAACAGTGTTGACCATAAAAGATGGCGAATAGCACTTGCTTGATGCAACACATGCTGCCAATTGAACCCTTCCGAGCGTTTCATTAGAATTGTCAGCATTTTTGGGAGCGATTGGATTCGATGATCGATTCTTTTTGTGGCGTCTGCAATTTCCTTTGTACTTGTTCTACTTGCTCTGTCTTGCTTGCGTAATACGGTTATAAACTCATTTAATAAAAATCTAACATGCACATGTAATTTCTGTATAATAACCATAAATCAGTCTGATTCATATATTGAGCCTATGAATCAATTTTAATTGGTGAATCGATGCATCATTACATGTCAGTTAGATACTGCCGTTTGCGCTTTCTGCAAAATTATACGTATGGTAGCAATTTTGTGGATACATATTTGTGTGTATGGGTAGCCAATGTAATCATGTAAAATAAACTTTGAAAGTTTAAACTTTGCAGCGTTTTTATTGACTTACAGGACTAATCAGTGGTCAAGAACTAGTCTTGTATTGCAAAACTCAAATACACTCTTCCATTAGCCTTCATTGCTTAAGACAAATTTGTCAACGAAAACGTTCCTTCTCATCGACTTACAGTGAGGGAAAAAAGTATTTGATCCCCTGCTGATTTTGTACGTTTGCCCACTGACAAAGAAGTGATCAGTCTATAATTTTAATGGTAGGTTTATTTGAAAAGTGAGAGACAGAATAACAACAAAGAAATCCAGAAAAACGCATGTCAAAAATGTTATGAATTGATTTGCATTTTAATGAGGGAAATACGTATTTGACCCCTCTGCAAAACATGACTTAGAACTTGGTGGCAAAACCCTTGTTGGCAATCACAGAGGTCAAACGTTTCTTGTAGTTGGCCACCAGGTTTGCACACATCTCAGGAGGGATTTTTTCCCACTCCTCTTTGCAGATCTTCTGCAAGTCATTAAGGTTTCGAGGCTGACGTTTGGCAACTCGAACCTTCAGCTCCCTCCACATATTTTCTATGGGATTAGGGTCTGGAGACTGGCTAGGCCACTCCAGGACCTTAATGTGCTTCTTCTTGAGCCACTACTTTGTTGCCTTGGCTGTGGGTTTTGGGTCATTGTTATGCTGGAATACCCATCCATGACCCATTTTCAATGCCCTGGCTGAGGGAAAGAGGTTCTCACCCAAGATTTGATGGTACATGGCCCCGTCCATCGTACCTTTGATGCGGTGAAGCTACCCTGTCCCCTTAGCAGAAAAACACCCCCAAAGCATGTTTTCACCTCCAAAGCATAATGTTTCCACCTCCACGTTTGATGGTGGGGGTGGTGTTCTTGGGGTCATAGGCAGCATTCCTCCTCCCCCAAACACGGTGAGTTGAGTTAATGCCAAAGAGCTCCATTTTGGTCTCATCTGACCACAACACTTTCACCCATTTCTCCTCTGAATCATTCAGATGTTCATTGGCAAACTTCAGACGGGCATGTATATGTGCTTTCTTGAGCAGGGGGACCTTGGGGGCGCTGCAGGATTTTCAGTCCTTCACGGCGTAGTGTGTTACCAATTGTTTTCTTGGTGACTATGGTCCCAGCTGCCTTGAGGTCATTGACAAGATCCTCCCGTGTAGTTCTGGGCTGATTCCTCACCGTTCTCATGATCATTGCAACGCCACGAGGTGAGATCTTGCATGGAGCCCCAGGCCGAGGGAGATTGACAGTTCTTTTGTGTTTCTTCCATTTGCGAATAATCGCACCAACTGTTGTCACCTTCTCACCAAGCTGCTTGGCAATGGTCTTGTTGCCCATTCCAGCCTTGTGTAGGTCTACAATCTTGTCCCTGCCATCCTTGGAGAGCTCTTTGGTCTTGGCCATGGTGGAGAGTTTGGAATATGATTGATTGATTGATTGCTTCTGTGGACAGGTGTCTTTTATACAGGTAACAAGCTGAGATTAGGAGCACTCCCTTTAAGAGTGTGCTCCTAATCTCAGCTCGTTACCTGTATAAAAGACACCTGGGAGCCAGAAATCTTTCTGATTGAGAGGGGGTCAAATACTTATTTCCCTCATTAAAATGCAAATCAATTTATAACATTTATGACATACGTTTTTCTGGATTTTGTTGTTGTTATTCTGTCTCTCACTGTTCAAATAAACCTACCATTAAAATTATAGACTGATCATTTCTTTGTCAGTGGGCAAACGTACAAAATCAGCAGGGGATCAAATACTTTTTTCCCCTCACTGTATGTTACTGTTGAATCGTGTGATGTCGGCTGCAAGTACACTGGCATTAAGCTGCGATTACGGCGGATTATTGTGGTGCAATGCTGTGAATGTATTTGTAAGTAATTGAGCTCCTTCACGCAGAAAAAAAGTAAATTTGAAAAAAATAGTGAAATTCATAAACTAAGCATGTTATAATAAAGACATTACAGAACGTTGTCAGACCATTCCAGGCAACGGGCCCTCCACACCATGGCACTCATCAGGGTTGTTTCTCCATACTTCATCACGTTGGTCAGCATGGGTTGGTGGAGGGTGCACCCAGGACCGGTTGAAATATTACTCGCCACTGACGTAAGCCGTGGCCTGGAATTGAACCGAGCTCGTCAGGTTAACGTCCCAGTGCTCTAACCACTGCATCATTGCTGCTTCCACATATTATGCTTGATAATAACGTTAACATTTTTCTGTTTATTCTATGAACACATTGAGATAGCAATGGTATAATGTCCCCTTGTTTACATTGAGAGCATTTTTGCATTATCAGTGAAATCTACCTAAAAAGGTATCTGTTGGCAATCTAATTACGAATAGCATAGCTCAGCTCCCAGAAGCCTCGCAGTGCATTTAACCACGTGCTGGCTGCATAGCCTTTAACCATATTCTGGCTGCACAGTGGATTATCTTCAAAGATGTTTTTTCACCATAGCCCACAGCACTACGAGAGTGATGAGGCAGGGGTGGGTAAACCTGTCGGTGGCATTTGCCGATGGGCAGATACTTCCCGAGTTTGGTAAAAATGCAGTCACCAGGACCGGTTCATATTTCAATCCCCATTACGTTGACCATGGCCAGGCATTGACCTCTGCTTGCAGCGTGCTACTCACTGTACCACTACTCCACCATTGTTTTACATTATGTATAACACATAGTAATAATAAAAAAGGATGCCCTTTTTAACCAGAAAATATTCACAGAGTTTTAATACTTTTTTTCTGCAAGAGGGTCCTTCATTGGTATGTTTGGCTATTTCCACTTATGACTTGTTTGGAATTTTCCAGGAAAAAAACCTAACATGCATACTAGGGATTAGCATTTAAATCTTAACATAGATTCAAGATTCGATTGCTGTGTACTGCTATGTCCCGGCCTCAACACAGGTCAAGCCTACAACACTGTTCCCGGACAGAGTCCCATCCAAGTACTACTACTCAAACCTACTTCTCTTCACAGATCTTGCAGGATAGGGTGCATTCATGGTGATTTGGTTATCCGGGTTATTTTTATACTTCCTAACGAATGGTAGTTTAACATTTATTTTGTGCAAATTTTCATGTGTATTATTTGGTAAATATGTGACCATTATAATGGGAACCCAGTAACTTTTTACAACTTTTTTGTCATCTTTTTTTCACAGGTAACTTAATACAAATTCACGTGGAGTTTTGCAGTCATTGAAACATTGTTTTATTTTTTTAGTCCTGGCAGATGCAAACACAATTCAGGCTGTACTGTGAAAATAACGCAGCTGCTAATTGAGGAAACTGCGTTAGGAAAATTACATATGTTGAAAAATCTCATGCTGCATTCAAGCTTTCCAGGTTAGCACAACTTTCTGAACATCCGACAACCGAACCGATAGTGGAAAATAGATGGTATCTTTGTCACCGTTTCTTGTACGTGCAATGATTTTGAATGCGGAATTATTTTTTCTTAAACATTTCTTATGCCGTATCAACTGTACACGTGCAAATATTAACACAGCCTGCTACTGCAATTTCACAGTTTAAAAAACATGAAAGCCAGTTTTCCAATGAATAAATACAATTAAACTTCATTACGTTACAGGGTGATTTGGGAAATTGCTAATGATGAACCATTCATGATTTGGAGAATGACATGGCTTCATGAGAAAGAACGTGAACATGATGAACAACGAGAGTTGGGCTAAAGAGCATATTAACTTCCATTAGTGGTGTGACTTTTCCCAGCTCTCTGCCACGTATCAGCAATTGCCAGCTCGATCAACCTGATGATAATATTTCAAAATGTTGCATTGAGCCATTATTCTTTGCTGGCAATTTCATTCATGCTTTGACAAATTGGTTTCTATTAAATGCATCACCAGAGGTCTTCGTTTGCGAAACCAAAATGCATGACTCATGGCTTTGACATGAAAATAAATATATACTATAAATTATTTTCCAAAATTCTAATTTAATTTCTCTTGTTTGTTAAACCTCATTCTTACTGCTTATGCGGCATGCATATACAATATTATTGCCAGCAGCCATGACTAATTCAATGTTGGGTCAAGGCCTCCCTTCCCAAGCCATAACCAATACCATATATCAGTTTTTTTCTTTGCATTTTCGTCACATGCATGTTATTTTTGTTGCTGTTGTAATTATCTATGTTGTCATTACGATCAGCACATGTTCACTTTGCAATGCACGTTGTTAAGTGAGGTTCATGTTGCTTTGTTTTTTTCTAGTTCAACTGCGATGTATCCTCTCCCTAGGCTATATTCAGGTGAGGAGACCTCTGCAAGGCATGCGCTTGTGAGCTAAAGGCTGATGAGAATTTTGGCATTTGGAACAACGCATCGACTGAACAAAGATAACCATGGCAGCTGCAAAGAAAGGTATACATCGCTGTGTTGTGATTTTCACATTATTTATTTGTATATATTTTACCAAACAAGAGATGGCATCTGTTTCTTACAGATAATTGCGTTGTTTACTTTTATTGCACGTGTTTGTTTGTGTTTCGTGAAAATTTCAGTAGGAAAGCATGTCGTAGCTTTCTTTTTCCTCGACGTGCATTTTAAAATGACACTCCCGATAAATGTGTGTAACATGTGCTTTATACAATGTCAACAGTCGCTAAATCCATGGAAAAAAATATTTGGTGAAATGCATTGAGTGCATGGTAATGCTGTGAAAGATGGAATGTGCCTTGAAAGGCATTACGACTACTAAACATAGCTACTTATAAGTAGCGCGCCGGTCCATTTAGGGTGCATCCATTTTGCTTGGAGATCCAACTGTATAAAATGTAACGCATTATTTGGTGATACTGCATTGCCAGCGGTGCACGTGCAAAAATGTACAAATAATCCATTACATTCGTCAATAACAGTGCCTAAAAAGGAACACTGTATATATTTGGCAACGTTTTAGGCAATAATGTGCTGTGATTAAGGGCCAATGCTCAAAATATCACATTTTTCTTCAATTTCAACCAGTGTTTTTGATTAATGTGTTTAGGTTTTTTTGCTATTTGAAATTTAATCAAGATATTTTTTGCACTTAAAATGCAAACATGTATGCCAGTGTTTTTACATTCTAGACGTGTGAGCTTACACCCACGCGCTTGTGTTGTAATGTACGTGCGCTGATACGTACCCTAACAGGTTTATTTAAATGTTTCTTGAAAGTATTTCGCAGCCAGTCTTAAAGATCTGGGCATTTATATCATTATGCTGTGTGTGATAGGTTTCATAGCATTTACTTTTGGGGATTTGCAGCTTTTGTGAAAGCATAAAGTATAAAGCGTCCTCGGTCATTCGGCCAGATGGAAGGGAAAAATATCCCCCGTTCGTTGCAATAAAGGGACTATCTGCTCCATTAAAATTGGGCTGTATTTCAAAATTTACAACTAGTCCCGTGACCGACTTGTGTCCCGCATGACTTTCCGCAAACGTACGTGTGTGCCGTCGTGAAGCTCCAGCGAAGCATCGGTCTGGAGGAGTGCACTTTGGGGAGGTGGGAGCCGAAACAGCTGGGCATGTCCACTTTGACGATAAACTGCACGACTCGATCGTTATGGTCACGCAGGAGACGGACGGGAGCTTCCTCACTAAGGTTTGAACCCCCCCCCCCTGATGGTTGGATCGTCATGCAGGCCTCGTCCCTGCCAATGGGCCATGTCTCCCTTCACCTCCCCACATCTCTTCATTCCAAATACGGTGCTTCCTCAAAATAACGTGGCCGACTACATACCGTGTCCCACATGTTGGAGGGGACCCTTAAAAAAAGGAATAATAGATCGCACTCCCGAAGCTCAGCAATTGAACAGCGTGAAAAGCAATGCTGACTTGCCATTTGCTGTGACTCCACGATGCTCAGAAACATAACAAACTAGGGAACCCCAGTTCAGTGCTGCACTGTGCAGCAATTTGTACCGTGCGTTCCATTCAGGAATGGCTCGTGGTTTGTTTTCTAGCAAGATGTGAATGAGAAAAGCGCTGGTCTTCATTGAAATAATGGAGTTTTGTTCACAAAGTAGATATATCGGGACACCTCACCCCTTAAATAGCCCGGTGTTTCGAGATCACGTTGTATACCATGTGTATGTGTGCGTAATAGTGTGCCTGTGGGGAATGGTGGTGAGGTGGTTAGTGCTCTCCTAGGTCGACTCGGCCTCAAATGAGTACCTGGTACAATGTGTAAATATTGTCACTAGGGAGACAAAGGCGGCTGGGCGTGGTGCTGGCCAGCTCACCCCGTCGTGTGCTGTAACGGCCTTCCATAGCTGCTTGCTAACAGCACTTGCACCAACAGTCTGTTATGGCTTCATGAGGGATTTGTTTTTCTTTGCTGTAAGGTGATGCCTGCAGTGTGTGGTTGAATGACGATGCTTCTGTTTTTGCGGCGTGTGTCTGGTAGGTTGGCTTCCTTAAGATTGGCCACAAGTACGAGATCACGTTTGAGATTCCAAGCCGCGAGCGTCTTGGCCAGGATGTGTGCGTGGTCTCCAAACACAATTTGTTTCTGCAGGTGACTGGCATCAAGGCAACTGCTGTTGGTGAGTTCTTCCCCGCTGTCACCAAGGCATTTTTGTCCACTGTCTTATACTCATCCAGGGCCAGATTCTCGTCTTGTTTAATCATGTGGTGATGCTGTGTTGGCAGTGGTGCATAAGCATAAATAACAAAAACCCTCAACACATGTGTCAATAACACTGCCTTCAAATGAAAAAAAACTATTGGTGTTGTTTCTGGTAATGACCCTTCTTTGTAGCACATTTTTATGAATGTTTGTTTTTGTCAGCTTTTTGCGAAGACCTTGCAATGTTTCTAAAGCCAACAATGGAGCAAATTACTAAGACGATGTGTTACAGCGCTTTTTTTGAAGATTAGAATTTGGCCTCCTGAGGATACAGAGAGGGTCCCCTGTGATGTCGTCAAAATTTATTTATTATTATTGTTTGTATTATTATGCCTCTAATAGAGGCCCTCTGAATTTCATTGACACACGTGTGCAATTACATTTCTTCTAAGTTATTTAAAATGAGAATGAATATATCATCTATATTTAAATTTAAGTGACATTTTCCATCGAAAGAATATGTTAAATAAATGGGATTTGGATACGTATGTAATGTTATAGCACTTAAAATTATTTGGCTCTTAAATTAAGGTGAATAACTTCTGACAACCATGATGGGGCAGCGGGGAATGTTATATCAAATTTGAGATGTGTTGGAAATTATATATATATTTTTAATACTTGGCACGTCAATTACCATGTGGCAGCGCTGCCTTGGTTTGCATAGAGACAGTTTGGATCCAACATATGGTGGGTTCCTATATCCTGGAGTGTTGACATTATATCGCATGAGCTAGACTGATTGTCTGTGTGAGTTCAATTTTGCTGGGCGCGGGGTCTTCAAGCCATGACACGTTTGCGGTTCAAATTTGTCTTTTGACAGCTGTACATATCAGATAGAATAATGTGAGATTCATATTAACTAACAGTGCATTGATGTGTATTATGGAATGCCTTCTCCGTTGAAAGATCAAACCTACTAACAATGTAATTCCCCAGTGAGCATCAGACTCTTGAGTTTGGCTTTACATGATCTTTGAAGTCAATGAGTCACTGGACTTATTGAAATGTCCTCAATGTGTTGACATCAGCAAGGGTGAATATTTCAATGAAGCTGCATTTTCAATGGGATTGTAGCAACAATCAGACCACATTCACTTTTCTCACAAAAGCAAGTGTTATCACTTGAGTGCAGAACATTTTGGAAGGAAGCATACAGCGAGGGAAAAAAGTATTTGATCCCCTGCTGATTTTGTACGTTTGCCCACTGACAAAGAAATGATCAGTCTATCATTTTAATGGTAGGTTTATTTGAACAGTGAGAGACAGAATAACAACAACAAAAATCCAGAAAAACGCATGTCAAAAATGTTATAAATTGATTTGCAATTTTAATGAGGGAAATAAGTATTTGACCCCCTCTCAATCAGAAAGATTTCTGGCTCCCAGGTGTCTTTTTATACAGGTAACGAGCTGAGGTTAGGAGCACACTCTTAAAGGGAGTGCTCCTAATCTCAGCTTGATGGTGTTTATTTTTCCTTTGAATGTGATCACGATTAGAGCCGGGCTATCCGATTATTTAAATGATCAATTATTCGACCGATTGGCAGCTGTATTAGCAACCAATCTGGTCACATTAATAAAAGTAAAAAAATAACGTGCCACGTGTGCCGTTGGATGGGAGGCGATGGACAGGGCTTGGCTAAGTCGACAGCGTCATTAGGCGTGTCGCTTGGTGGGGTTTTCCACCTTCGAGGGCAGGGTGTCAGGGAGGCTGCCATTTTTAGAGGGGCCCAAGCACTCTACCACACTTATATGTCAGTTAACTGACTAGTCCTCCCATCTCTAATTATAATTATTGTTGTATTTCATAATGTGTCTACAAGTAGGCTGATTTGGACGAGATTAAGGAGAAACAATCAAGTCTGCCACAATTATGAGTGATATCACTGCAGTTTGCCGTATGCCTACAGTGTCGATTACCACATAGCCGTAAGCAAAAAAATATACATGAGACTATTTGGATGTATTTCACATTTTTAGTACAATTTCATCTCAAGGAGCTCTTTACTTAAACATTTTTTACTTGGCAGTGTCCGTGTATCTTAAATAGTTTATTTTAGTTGGTTGCGTGTGTGTATCTTGCGTCACCCCAGTGCATAAACACTGTGAACACTGCAGGTGAGAAAATTCATAAAAAAGTCATCTCTAAATTTGGTCAAGGCGTTTCATGAAATGCCCCACACGGTCTGTTTTGAGGTTTTGTTATTTTAAGTCTGGTGTTTAAAATTATCACGCAAGAAAGAACATAGCCTGGCTTGACGCTTCATAAGGAAAGCCTTTGCTTAATGGCTTTGTGCACTGCAATATTTTATGTTATAATATACAGCCCCAGACTCTAACTGGATTTTGTTTTAACCAAGCCTGCAACGAATTATACTTTTGTCAGTTGCAAGAGTTTATGTAATAAGTAAGTTGTGTAGTTTTTTAGCACAGCGTCCTTTCAGATGGTTGAGGCAACAGCAATGCATAGGGAAAGAAGTGCATCAAACAGCAAGTGCGTATAATTGTTTTTGGCGAGCATGACAGTGGCTATATACATGTGTAAGAGTAGAGAAGTACCACCTTTACATTGTATAAGTCGTGCTTTGTCAATTGCAAGGCCAGATTTGCTGCAGGGAAAAACTACTTTCACCGCTGCATTCAGCAGTGGATTGACAAAATTGGCTGTACATGTGGACATAAGCCCTATGGTTGTTATTGAGACATTGGCTTTGTGCAACGTTGTTGCTTTTGATAAAATGTCGTGATGGGGCCAATGAAATAGTGTGCATAATATACCCATAATAATGCATCAAACCGTGGGAAAATATAAATCAAGCCGTTAAACACAGTGGCCACACCTAATTTGGGCACTCCTTAAAAGTAATTTTGAGCACGCGATGTTGAGACTGGCTACCGTTCGGCGGACCTCCACCTCTCAACAGTTTACAATGAGGGCAGTTTCACGTTACGCTCGTGTTGATCCAGTGAACACAACCCGAGCCGGGCTTCGCGCGCTTGCCAGAACGCCGCCGCGTATACATTGACTGCAGGAAACCCACCCACGGGGCGGGGCACCGAAGGGGAGCCTCCTTGGTGGTGGGGGTTGGGAGTGGTGGCACACGTGATTGTGATCGGCACGTAGCAGGCCACGTGGGAGTCATGGCCACGCATCTGCACAAGGCCATTAACGCTGGCATGGGTTTGCGTGTGTGTTCCCGTCTCTCTTCCTTAAGCATTTATTTTATCACAGCATTGTGTTTTCCGTTTGAACTCCGATCTGAAAATCTGATAGTTTTGTTTGCTCTCGGCACAAGCTATTTTATTTTGATTGAATGCTGACCAAGCGATATCTTCCCATTCATATGCTGTCGGTTATTAACACGCTCACATTCATGTGGCCTGTTCGTAGTTGCTAAATGAAAGAAGGTTTATTAAACTGTCAAGGTTCTCAAATTAATTGGCTTACAAAAAGTAATGTTGTATTGCCATCTGAAGCAATTGGCGGGACCCCGGGGTCCCATCACTGCCCCGGGGTGGGAAAAACCGCGTAGCGACACGAGTCTTGCTGCCTTACCGACAACAAAACTAGCGTCAATCGATTGGCCTCGTCGAGAGCTACTCGGGGCACTAAGTTTCGTAAAAGTTGAAAAATTCACTGCGGGGGCGGGCTCGCCTTGGCAAAGAAGCTGAGGATCGACGGCTGACCGGAGGGCGTTGTTGCCACGCGCGACTGCGGCGGACGCCCCCCCGCGGGGCTTGCGTTTGGCCGGTGGGGTGGCGCCCATCGTGTCGATCGCCGCCTGCTGGCACTTGTTGGCGCGAGTCTGGGCAGCTCGTTGCTGTCGGGATCACGAGTGGGCGAACTGAAAAATAATCATTATTGACCTGATTTTTGCGGGACCCCGGGGTCCCGCCAAATGATTCATCTGTCGCCAGTATTATTCTGGATCTGGGTGAGATTCTAGGATGGTGACAGCGTGTCGGGATTTTGGTTGACGGTGAGGTACAATGATGAGGTCTTGGTTGATGGGTGGTTTGTCATTGGCAAAAAATATATAAACACATTGCATTAAAAACCTAGACGGTAATGCTCTCTGTTTACACTTAGAGCCTTTCACGTTATATATGCAATATGCCTAATATGGTATCTTTTTGGTAATATAATACTAATAGCTTAACAGCATAGCTCAGTTCCCAGAAGACTTGCAGTGCTTTTTTGCTAGAGCTCTAACCATGTGCAGGTTGCACACTGGATTTAAAAAAATAATAGTTTCTTCACCGTTCGCCCCCTCCCCCAACGGTTCTGTGAGAGCGAGAATGCGGGGGTGGGAAAACCTGTCAATGTCATTCGTCCGCATGGCCAGGGACTTGGCAAGTTTTATGGGCAGCTTGGTGCCGATTGTCGGTAAGCGTGTTTAGATTCGGTGAATCACTCGCCGAGCATCGATTCCCAAGATTGTCCCAGCAGCAAGAACAGGCGGTGAACAAAATTTTTCTTGGGTCACCACTAAAATTACACTTTACTTAATACTGCACTGATTCATTTATTGAAATCGATTGTTATGCTCATTGGCACATCAATGTATGTATGCATGAATTGATTTTCTTACATGTGTAATAATAAAAATGCCAATTGGCTTCACGTGGAAGGAAAGCGCAGTACCTCGGGTGGTCACCCATCCAAGTACTAACCAGGCTCAAACATGCTTAGTTTCTGAGGTCCAACAATATCATGGGGCGTTTAGAGCAATGATCGTGCATGCATGGTTGTATTTAAACATGACAGCCACTAGGGACCCTACATGCACTGCAATGGCAAAATCTCATTGATTCTGGAATGAAATCACAACCCAGAATTGTGGCAATTAATTAAATTGCAAGGAGTGTGAATCATTACTGGCATAATAATTAAGCGTTTAGGCACTTGGCAGT